AATGATTGTGGATAACAACTTTTACATTTTTTTGCATTTTTTTAGGAATGGATTGAAAATGGTGGTAGTGGGTTGATGGTTTTAGCAACAACTTTTCAGAAAATACCACGTGTCTAGTTTTCAAAAAATGAGAAGGCCATGTGTCTAAATAGTGGGGAACTGTAGCCTGGTAGTGGGTTGTGGGCTTTAGCAGGAATTTCTCAGAAATTGCCGTATGTCTTTTTTTCTAGAAAATGAGAAAATCACTTGGTTGAATGATAGTAATGGACTATGGGCTTTAGCAACAACTTTTCAAAAAATGTCATGTGTTTAAATTTGAAAAAGCCACATCTCTGAATGATGTGGGTTGTAGCCATAAGACTGACTATGATATGGAAAACCATATCATATCTAAAAACCTCTGCTACTGCCACGTACACACCAGTTACAAGAGTTATTTAAGTAACAGTAATTATATTTTTTTATATGTTAATTAAAATTTAACACTTTAACCCATCCGTTAATCTCTAATCTTCTGTTACCCATTCTTCTATCCTTCGAGTTCCCTCTTCTGGTCAACTTCTTTGAACTCTCTCTTCTAGTTGAACTTCTCCTTCGAGTTCCCTCTTCTAGTCAACTTCTTCGAGCTCCCTCTTCTGGTCGAACTTCAAGGGAACAAATTTGCTCTGAAAAAAAATTACAATATGTTTTTTGGCCTAAAGATCAGTGGCTAATTCATTCTTAAGAAGTTTTGCCCTTTGATATCAGGTTCAAACATTTTTAGCTGAATAAATGGGCACTTAATTATTCAGTATTTGATCATGACAAGTTTCATCCTGAAGGGTATTGGCACTAATGAATTTCTGTTCTGTAAACTTACTACACATTAACAAAGTATGAATTGAAGTTTGAAAACTGCATGAAATTGACATTAAACGAGCAATGGAATTCATTTCCAAGTTGCCAGAAAGCAACCCTAAGAATCAAGAATCAACCTACAAATATACATGTATTCCAAGTTTCTTTTTCATTAATTCCACCAATACCTCATTGGGTAGATCCCTACTGCAAGTTCTGTCACTCCAGCACTTATTCTGGTCTGTCAATATGGCCCGCAAGCCACCTACAAGAGAACAAGACTCGTCATTCCCACTCCAACATATACACAAATGTAGAGAAGAGGGATCTAATAACAGTGTCTAGCGAATGAGATAACAAAACTATAAATGTGTTTGCCATTGCTGGTTGGTGTCGTCCACAGAGAACATAAAGAAAATCAAATATGATATCGAATACAGAGAGAGAAGGAGAGAAAGACAGAGAAAGAGGAGATAGAGATTTACTGGTGGTTAGATGTCGCCGCTGGTTCCATCCTCGCCGGTGATGTGAAGTCTAAGTAAGAGAGAGAAAGAGTCGACTATGGGAGAGATTCATCCGAGGAGGAAGAACGAATGGAAAGACCTTAACATTTTTTTTATTTGAAATGAATTTCTTTTTTGAAATGTGATTTTAATTGTTGTTGAAACTGGTTACTTGCGATACCCTGAATTCATCAAAACAGAAAGTCGAAGGTGATTGGTCCATCTCATCCGATATGATATGGAAAAGATACTTTTTCCATATCATAGATTTTCCCTATATATATAGATGGGTAAATTTCTGAAACCTCTTCTGTAGTTTTTGGCTCTTGTTAAAACCCCCTTAATTGCAATCATCTCCTTTGGACTTTCTAACCATGGTTTTTAAAATTGGATTGGCTCAGATAGTCAAATTGGAAAACTTGGGAACCGGTTGATCAGTTATGTTTCACCCCAAAATCGTTTTTTGGCTAAAAGTTGTTGATTTGGTCAGCGAACCGCTTACTTAGGCGGTCGAGCTATCAAATCGTTAACTCAGACAATGGTTTTTGGCCATTTTTTATTTTTTATTTTTTAAATCAAAACAGACCATCCATTCAAACCAGATGATCAGACCATTCAACCCAGGAACCAGTCCCAGAATGGTTCCCTATCTGGTCCAGTTTTAAAAACCTTGTTTCTAATAAAGTTGCAAGTAGACTCTCTTTGTTAGAATCCTCTAAAAAGAGGCATGAAAATATTCAACATATTTTTACAATTACTTTTAACCAAAATGTTTATTTTCCAAATTCTCTCTTTATAATAATGCTAGCTCAGACCTTTCAATCTCTTTTCTAAAGTTGATTTTATTCCAAAATTTCCTGTCGTATTAATTGTTCAAAGTAATGCTGCAACTTGAATTCTCTTATTTTTTGTGTATTGTTTATAAAATTTGTACTATTTTTCTTTTATAGAAATCAGCTTCAATAGAAATTACATGGCTATTTTAGATATTTTCATACTTATTAAAAATTTTAGTAAAGAAGGTCTACTTGCGTATTAAAAAAGTTCATAATAAATGATTGCAATTATAAACTTGAGTGGAGGTTTTAACAATTTATCCTAATAAAAAAAGGATAATCTTTTTAAGATCATCCAGCTTCTGCTTTTAAAATTTTACTTTTGTGTTATATGCTATTAGACCGACCTTTTAGGGGCCCACTTCTGGGTGGGATCAAAAGGTCCTAACACTCACATTGCGGCTCAAGGTCTAAAATGGCGATAATCGGTGCACCATCTGAATTTGTCGCATATAACTCTAAATACCGTCTCTGTCAGCTTGTCTAAGTTCAAACCCAAAATCCCATTTCGTCTGAACAAAGTTATAATCCATCCAATGCATTCCCATAAAGATTTGAATTTGACTATCTTAGTTTCAAGTGTAATGAATGGAAAATTTTGACTATGACCATACAGTGAGAGATTAGCGTTTCTATAAATGAAGCAACCATAGAATACTTCTCAATTATCGCAACAACTCTTAATTGATCGATGTGTCAGTAAAATGTTATGATGCAATTAGTAATTCAAAGATTGAAGTCAGTTACGGAATTGGGAATTTTCTGTTTGGAGGGGGGGGATTTGTTTCTCCTTGATCGGTTGATCCGATTGTCAGGTTGTATAAAGAGAAAAGAAGATGGAAAAGGGGCTTAAAGTTTCACAAAAAGTAGAGAATAAAGAAAAAGGAAAGAGGACGTTCAAAAACAATGGATAAACATGGAGACATAAAATAGATGTTAATCTTATTTTTTAAAAAGATTTGTGCTTAAAGCGTGTGTTTAGAACTGTGGGCGCTTATTTAATAAATGTTGTTATATAGGTGCTATTTTAGCATTTCCCTTATTATGCAGATCTGAAGCTTTATTTTAGTGTTCCTTCCCCTCAACGGGTATGCATTTATTCACTATTTTGCTGATGTGGTGTCCAATGGCATCTAAATGTCAATAAACAGATTCATTATTACTTTTTTCGGTTTTACAAACAAATCAAATACAAACATTTAGGTTATGCTTGGTTTGAAGGAAAATATAAGGAAAGGAAAGGAAAGATAGGGAAACCTTTACAAACCTTGTATTGTTTTCCCTACCTTTCCCTTCATTTCCCTATTTTTTTCTTCAAACCAAACATAACCTTAGTGAATAAACACCCACAGTTCCAAACATATACCAAACTAATAGAATAACACCCATTTATTACTTTACTCCACTCCTAAACTAAGGCTTTGTTTGGTTTGAAGGAAAAATGCAGGGAAACCTTTACAAACCTTGTACAGGGTTCCCCTACTTTCCCTTCCTTACCTTTTCCTTCAAACCAAACATATATAGCCTAATAGAATAACACTTAAAAAAAAAAAAAGTAGTTTGGGGGCCAAAGGCTCAACCTTATTACCTAGTTCCATCGAGTATGAATTCAGTCCTCACAAAACCGTCACTCAACCATTCTATCACAAATTCACATCTGGGCACCACAGAAGGTGCCCTACAAACACCCCGCTCTATTATCACCGTATTCAAAGCCTTTTATATATTTTATTCAGAGGAGATATTCCTAATGCACAACTGCAAGTGGTTATAACTAGGTGTGAGTACTGTTGTATGAGGACTGAATCCCAATTCAGCTCGGCCTCATTGCAGGGGAGCTGAATATCACCCTTTTTGTTAATTCATTGTCTGCGTGGTCTCATAAAAGTAGGGTCACAGAATTGGCATCATTTTTACTTTTTTCTTTTCTGATGATCAATTTATTCAGATTCAATCAACTTGGCTATCCATTGGTATGCTAAAATCTAATCCTCTTCCTTGTGATTGTAAATTTTGCTAGCTCATCAGGTGGGTGTCTCAACTGCAGACTAGTGGGTTTTTTTTTTTTTTTTATTTGCAAAGCAGCCATTAGTGGGTTTTCCTTCTTTCATTTGGCAAACTGTCTCTTACAGAGGTTTTTGGAGGCATCCAAATCAAATGTTAGGAGTGTCAGGGTTTGAAATCCAAGTCAAGGAAGTCTTGAGACAAATAAAAAAGAAGAGAGGTTGGAGTTCTTTTAATAAAGCAGCGTATCACCATGTGAGGAAACGGAAATTGAAATCAATGCAATACAATTACTGGCTCAAGTTGATCAAACATTTTAATGAATTAATGGATCCGATCTCTACAAGGACCAAGTCAATTTGATTGGTTCACCGCGATCCCTTGCTTTGACTCGTAACTATAAGATTCCTCAGAGGGTTATTAATCCCCAACCCCAGGTGCCAACCGTGTCACCAGTTGGCACCGAAATCGGATCTGCTCCTCACATAGGGCGTCTCACACGCGTTTCACACGCGCATCCTATTATGCATTGAAAACATCTTCCGTATTTATAAGCGTGAGAAGCAGATCCCGTTCCGTTGGCACCGTCGAGTCTTGACTCAAAAACTTGACGAGAACGGAGAGAGTTATTTAATGCGTACGTGCTGCTCAGGGAAATGGGGTCGTCCACCGTGATAGGTTTGACGACTACAGAAGTTGAATTGTTAAAACTAAATTTTGCTTGAAGGAAGAGCTGAATTTCTACTGTAAGTCTGTAATTCTGAAATTAAAAAAGTATAAAAATGAAAAATGCCTATAAAAGTGAATAATCCATTAAAAAAAGGAAATAGAAAACTGAATAGGAATCACTAAGAAACTGGAAGGAAAGATCAAAGTCGAAGACTGACTGACCCATAATAAGAAGACTGTCAAGGAATTCCTCTCTCCTATTTCCCCGTTTCCATCCCGTCTCATCCTTTCTCTGTTTCTGCCTGAATCAGTAAAGGAGAACAGTGAAGAAAACCATGTTGGTGTCAGAAACAAGTTGACAGAAGGGAGCTGACATGGGTAACTGTTGCGGAAGCCCAGTTGATACCCAAAGCCAAAGCACCACCAGACCTTCAAGTCCAGGTACTGTCTCTTCTCCTTGTTTCTGTTTTCTCTTTGAACATCTTCTCATATGGGTTCTCTGTTTCTTCTTTGCTATTGGCGCTTGCTTCTTTCTTTGCCACCTCCTTGGGTTCTGTATTTCCTCTTATCATGTGCAAGAGAAATTCTGATTTGCATCTTTCGAATTGGGAAACTTGGAAATTTCTCTCTCAAAACCCAGCGTTTTGTTTTTGGCTAAATAATTCATCAATTCTCTATGAATTCATGGGTTTATCCGTTTCTGCTTTTAGTTTCAATTTTCGAATATGGTGATATAAATAACCATTTATTTTCCATAATATTTAAATGGGTTTCACTTTTTTGGTCCAATGTTTTATCCATTCTTCGTAATTTCACATGGGTCTCGCTGTTTCTGCCATTGGTCTGTCACAGATTCTGATATAGCGATACTAACCACTAATTTCCCCTACCTCTAGACGGATTTTCTTCTGTTTCCTTTATCTCAAGTAGCTTTCCTTTTTTGCCCCAAAATCTCAAATGGGTTCTCTCTTTTTCTTTCATATCCTCAACAGGATTCTCTTTTGCTTCCACAATTCCATCCCATAACTTTAATTCTGTTTCCTTTTCTCCCCGTTTGTTGCACAGGGACATCAACATGGACGTCGAGAAACGCCAGCAGCTTTTCCAACAGCAGCGGTAGCACCAACACCCAGTATTCGACAAGCAAGAGCCTGGATGAGAAGTTCCCCAACGGACACATCTTACCAAGCCCGAACTTGAAAGTCTTCACTTTTGCAGAGCTCAAAGCAGCAACCAGAAACTTCAGATCCGATACAGTGCTGGGCGAGGGAGGTTTTGGAAGGGTTTTCAAGGGTTGGATTGATGAGAAGACGTTCGCTCCTTCCAAGATTGGTAATGGAATGGTTGTTGCAGTCAAGAAATTAAATTCGGAGAGCTTGCAAGGATACGAAGAATGGCAGGTAAATTTGGAAAAAAAAAAGCACAAGGAAAAAAGTAGAATTTCTTCCATTTTTACTTTTTTTAGAGCACTTCGGGTTTCAAATGATAAAAATGCTCTTCAAACGCTACTGCTGAGTGATGTATTTTGATTTGTATAGATTAACTGTAATTTTTATTTAGTCAATAACTCTTTGTAAGAATTTAATAGATAATAATTCTTACTCTAGTTCATTAAATTTTCTTCATTACAATGTTTTTAAGAGCAGACCCTTTTTTTTCTTAATTCAAACTATCACTTGCATACAAATGTACCTAATTAGTTAACATGAATTGATGAGATGGTTGGATTTGTAGAATGAGTTTTTGCCCAGTCAGAAAGGAATTTAGAATGGTGTAATGGGTGTAGGATATTATTTTTGACATTTAATGTTTTGTATTGTTTTATCCTTGAATGCTGTTTATTAATTATCATCAATGGCCAAGAACTTGAAGGAAGTGTTTTTTTTCCTCCCTTAAAAAAATTACCAGTTCAAATGGTTTTGAAGTTGGTAGTTTTTTTTTTTTTTTTCTGCTACAGTTTCGAAGTTGGTAATGAGAACATGGAGATGAGTAAACCATCTTTTTCACATACAGGGCCATTGCTTGGTGCAATGGTAAAATCTTGGGCTGACAAGCATAGAATGTGGGTTTGAATCTACAAGCAGCCAGTTTGTGCCTAAAAAGGGCCAGTCCGTCCTCCTAAGACCTTGGATACCCGAGTCCATAATTGAATAATGGACCTTTAGGGTATCTCCAAGCTAGAAAATCAATAATTTTTTGGCCTAATTGCCATGTTGGCATGGGTTATCATAGACTGCAAAGCAGGACAGCATTTGCCTGGCCAATTCTAGAAAGTTGGGATTCAGCCTTCCTTGAGTGAGTGTTCACATTGTATTAAAGGAGTAGAAGCCAAGTTCAATATCACATCTGCCAACTTGTCTCCTCTCTCTATCTTCCTCTCCCTTCTCCCCACAAACTTGGTTTCATTTAAAATTCCTTTTTCCATTTTTGAATTTTGAGCCAATATTTATATGATAATTTGTTTCCATCTTTGTCTTTTTATGGTGCAGTCAGAAGTGACTTTCTTGGGAAGGCTTTCTCATCCCAACCTGGTAAAGCTCCTCGGATACTGCTATGAGGATAATGAACTCTTGCTCGTTTACGAGTTCATGCAAAAGGGAAACCTCGAAAACCACCTTTTCAGAAGTAAGGAAAACCTTGCGCTCATTCTCATAGATGTGCAAACAAACACAAACATTGGAAGATGAACTTGTACACATGAAACAAGCTGATCTAATTTTCAAATTCTCACATTATTCTTATCCAGGAGGTTCAGCTGTACAGCCACTTCCATGGAATTTACGACTCAAAATAGCAACTGGTGCAGCTAAAGGGCTAGCTTTCCTGCATACATCAGAAAAGCAAGTAATCTATAGAGATTTCAAGGCCTCCAATATCTTAATGGATGCAGTAAGATTTCTGAACCAAAATGCTTTTTAATATACAAAAAGATTCTTTTGTGGGTATAGAAAGAGACTTAATAAATCTTTTCATCTTTTGTTCTATATAGAATTTCAATGCAAAAATATCAGATTTTGGGTTGGCAAAAAATGGTCCTGCAGCTGGAAATTCACACGTGACAACACGTGTTATGGGCACATATGGTTATGCAGCTCCAGAATACGTTGCCACAGGTAATATTTTCTGCCTCTGCTTCTGATTCTCCCCAAGTCTTCTCTGTTTCGGTTTAAACCTTAGGATTGAATTTGGACTAGGCCTGATTAATTTGGTTGACAAACAAGTCCATGCCTTTTAAAGTACTCCAGTAGTTGTACCTGGTGTTATATAGCTATATAAATGTAACTATCCACATCCAATTTCTTTTATGTAGCAATTGTGCTGTACAGACAAGAAAATTTACTCATAGTGATTCTAACATCTGAAACCATGAGACCCTGGTTGATCTTTCAATAGTGGATTTGGGCCTTGTCATGTATGACATGGCCAGAGCAAGTCCACCTTTTATAATGGAACCATCTCCAAGAGTAAAGACCGGAATATGGTTGTTTCAAGATTTCAAGGAATTTAGTTCCTTTCAATATCTTACTAGAAAATGGAAATAAATCCATTTTAGACAAGGATATCATGGTTTCAAATGCTAGCAGACAGTGCAATAAAAGGATTTCATTTTCAAACACCTCAACCCTTTTTAATTAGTTTGAAAATATACAAGATTTGGTACCACTAACTTGGTAAATTAGCCAACCCCTCCCCTCCCCCTTTTTCTGGTAAACTGGAAATTCAACCATGTCCTCCTTGAACAGGTCATTTATATGTGAAGAGCGATGTTTATGGATTTGGGGTCGTGTTGCTTGAGATGCTGACAGGATTACGCGCACTTGATACAAACCGTCCAAGTGGCCAGCACAACCTTGTAGAGTGGTTAAAGCCATCTCTACATGATAAAAGAAAGTTAAAAACCATGATTGATTCTAGGCTGGAAGGCCAATTTCCTATGAAAGGTGCAGTACAGTTAGCTCAGCTAACTCTAAGTTGTCTCGGATCAGAACCAAAGAGTCGCCCATCAATGAAGGAAGTTGTTGAGACTTTGGAACGGATTGAAGCTATCAAAGATAATAAACCAAAGGAATCCAGAACCAACTCTGCACAACCTAGAGGCTACCGCCACGGCCAATCCCCCTTGCACCATCGCTCTCCTCTTCACCCGAGGCAAGAAGGTGGTAGAGTAGGAGATCATGCCTACCAACAACCACCCAGACGAGGGTAGTTTGGGTACAAGATGGCTCCAGTGAAGTGAATGACCATGCACAGAATGCACATGAGGTGATTGTTTCTTATTATTAAACGATCCCCATTTTTTGTTAATGCTTTTACAAGTCTTTTGGATGTGATGATTGATGAATTAGTGATTCTGTCGAGTCCTTAGTATTGCAAGGTGAAATTATGTATGCTTTTATATATAGAACTTGCAAGCGTTGTGTAATGTGTATCTTCTTTTTGTCTCTCTTTTTCTTTCGTTTTTTTTTTTTGAGGGGGTTTAGAACTGATATACATATCTAATCTAATTACAGCAGTGAAACTACTGAAGCTCTTTCTCTCTGTCTTGCTTTAACTTTCACAAGTCAATCTTGTCATGCTATAAAATTGCTAAAATAACATTTAGTATTCAATTACAAGTACTGTTTGAACTTTGAAGAAAAGGAAAAACATACATAGAGGAAGGAGGGAGACTTGCTAGAGACGTGGAGTTCAATTCATAAATTTGGATACCCAAAGCCATTGCTTTCTTTTCCCAGGTTATCCAGCATGGCAGCATTGAGGCAAGAGGCCATCTGATTACAGCTTTAGGTGATTGAACAGAATGACTTCATGCTTTGTTTTTCAGTAAGTTAGTAATGAGGTTGTGAATTCCTCAATGGTTGAAGGCTTGATGCTGAAATTGAGTTAATTAACAATAACCTTGAATGTTTTATTATTTAATTATTTTATTCGCTAAAAGAAGGACAAATAAGTCATTCAGTTCAGCCATTTCACTCTTCTTTTACATTATCAAATGGCCCAGAAATAAAACTATTTCTAGACCAACAAGAGCGAAAAAAAAAACCGTTATCCTTTGGACACTCTTGAATCTTGATGCTTCTATTTATTCGCTAATAAAAAAGAATTAAACCCTGTTTATTGGCCTATATTTCTAGATATCAATATTGTCTCTGCTTTCCAAGAGATTCTATCCTGATCATCTCTGCTTTCTATATTTCAATCAAGATGGGTACGGCTTGTGGTGGTAGCTTGATCAAGCTCGTGGGAAGCTTGGGTAATTGACTAATTTCACTGGGAACTCAGAAGCCCATCTTTTCTGTGCTATCCGTTGGTCACACCAGTTAGAGGTGTCAATTGGACTGGATCCAATCCGATTCGGTTCAATATGAATCCATTACAGATGGCTTAGATCCAATCCAATCCGATGAATATTTGGATCATTTTGGATCAGTCCAATCTAATGTCTGGACTGTCCAATCTGTTCAAATTGGTTTTAATTTAGATTGATTGCAACCAAAACCTGGTCCATTGACACGTGTATTCTATCTTCTAATAATGGACCGGATATTTCTTCAATTTCATCGAATCCAATATAAATCCATTACAAATGAATCAGGTTCAAGCCAATTCAATAAATGCTTTGAACCATTAAGTCTGAGTGGTCCAATTCAATGTCTTATTAGTCCATCCAAATTGGTTTTCATTTAGATGGGGTCCAACCCAAAGCCGGTCCATTGACACCCTTACACCCCTACACACCACATCGTTGGTGGAAACAAGAGGTGCATAAAGAACCATAATGTTGAAGAATGGGCCTTGCCACAGGGTCGGGATCCTTTCATTGTCATGCTTGACGTGGGGACCAAGTTGAGTTGTCAATATGATGGATCTCTGATGCAGGGATGGATTGTTGGGCTGCTCAAGATATGGTGGAAAAGTACATTTTGTGGAGGGACTTGATGAAGCTCTTTTATGAGTCTATCAAGGTAGCAGATAAGAAAGGCAGTGAGAGCCACTGTTAATAACACGAAGATGGTGCTCTGCTCTTATTTCTTTAATTTCTTTAAATGAGATCGTCCATGTTTTCAAGGTCTTACATGGAGAAACCTGGTAGAATAAGGCCATGTTTGGAACCAATATTGTTTTTTGAGAAAATGGTGTTGCATTGGTATGCCGTTCTATGACTTTTATCCTTTTTTTTTATTTATTTTTTGTTCTGGACCATTGCTATTTGCTGCCAGTCATTTTTCAATATCACATCAGCATCTCTTTACTGGCAGCGGTAAAAAAACGAAAAAACACCAAAATTAATATTTCCTCAAATCACACCTTTCCTGATTTTGAAAGTATAGTCTAAGAATGTTTTTCGGAAAAATGCATAACCAAAACAGCAACAGATTTCAGATGTGGCACTGATAGCATCGGTTCCAAACACTGGCTAAGTGAACTCAGATCAAGAGTGCAGCAACGATAAAAGTAAAACAGAGCACAGACGTGGTGTCGGTGAAGGAGTTCGAACTTGGCAGTTATGACAATCTTTCGTTTCAAATCCAGAGAAGCACATCTTATGGTCATCGGCTCTAATCCTTACGTCATATATAATCCATACTCTGGTACCTTATACCAGCGCCCAAGTAATTTCCTTGAATCCAGATTTCTCCACCACAACTGTTGGGATATCGATGTGTAAAACTACATGTCACAATGGTTAGGATATCGAAGTGTAGCTACAATGTGATGTGAAGTGGGTGTGAGGACCATTCTCTTAACTGTATTGGTAATAATGTTTTAAAAGCCGATCTGGAAGTCAAACTGTTGTCGTGGTAGGGATGGCTTATATATATATAGAATTTTTTGAGGATAAAATTTATTGTTCCATATTTAAATTTATCTATAAAAATGATGACAAATAAGATAATCGGTTATTGATACTAAATGAGTTGAACAGATGTAATTTTAAGATATTCAATGCATTCAATTCCCTCTCATTAAATTCAATATTTATGTTATTAACTTACATTCATGTTCATTGAATCGTATATTTAAGTCATTTTTGTTTTTTCCAAGTTCTCATCATTAAGTTCTATTAATTAAATTCATACTTAATAAATTAATAATTCCAATAATATAAAAGCTTATGCTTTTAAGATCTACCTAGAAAAATGTGTTTTCATCTTGGTGGTGGTAAAAAATTAAACCATTTTGGGTCAAATGGGTCAATCCATGTTGCCACGATTAAATAATAAAATGAAAAAATTTAGAAATTAAAAAAATTGGGAACATTTTTTACATATTAAACAATAATAAGTATGATAAATAAGAAATGTTTTTATTAATGATGGAAATGGAATGTAAAATATAATTGAAATTAAAAATATTTTCATATTCTCTCTCATTAAATCCTATATTTAATATATATTTTTCTCATCATTAAATTCTTGTAATGAAATCCACAATATTAATTTTAATAGTATAAAAATAAATATTTTGAAAAGTAATTTGAAAAAAAAACCATTTTCTTCCCTCCTGATGGTGGGCAAGCAATTTGGCCATTTGAGGTCAAATGGATTAACAAATAATACCATAATTAAATAGTAAAAAGTATAATAAATAAGTATAAAATATAAGAAGTATTTTTATTAATGATGAAAATGGAATGTCAAATTTAAAACCTACCTAAAAATGAAATGTTGTCATAGTCAAATAATAAAATTTTGAAAAATAGAAAATTCAAGAATCACAAAAATTAAAAAAAAAAAAGATAGAGAAAATTTTGGGCACATATCTAATGTTAGATATTTATAAAAAATAAAATATTGGGTACATCTTTAATACTATGCATTCATTACATTGAACAAAAATAAGTATTATAGATAAGAAATCATTTTATCAATGATGAAAATGTAATACGAAATTTAATATCAACCTAGAAATCAAACTATTTTTCTTTTTGGGTGGTGGGTTAGTGGTTTGGGTCAAATGATATCATAGACAAACAAAAATTAAGTCTGATAAGTAAAAATTATTTATATAATGTAAATGAAATATATAATTTAAAGGGAAAATTATAATTAAAGCCGGTTGTACATTTAAAATTAGGTTGCAAGTTGATCTAGAAACCAACAAAACTCTGACAACCGGCTCTACATTTCAAATTATAAAAACCTTCATTGTGTCATCGGAGGACATGGGACTCTTAATCCATGTTGGACACAACAGAAAGCCTATATCGAAAATAGGTTTTTATTTTCTCTCCTGATCCCTCTGTCTCTTAATCTTCCTCCCTTCTCTCTCATTCTCATAGTCATCTCTCGATCTCCCGCTCCCTCTATCTCTCCCACTCTCTCAACTTTGGTATGTAGCCAAATCAAAATCTCTCTCTCATTCTCCATCAATCTCTCTCATTCTTCTCCTTCTCAATCAATACCTCATTCTCCCTCTCCCTCTCTCGTTCTTTTTTTTTTTATTTCTCTTACAAACTTATACAATATTAATCAGATAGTATAAAAAAACTAAAGGGACCAACCACTTGTACAATCAAGTTATAAATTTCTGTCAAGTTGGTATAAATTTCATAGTCAAGAGTTTCTTGTGAATTTTTATCAAATTGGTGTAATGATTTTTGAACCATACCAAGTTGGTCTCATGTTTTTTATTCAATTTGATTAATACCATACAAGTGTATAAGAAAACTAGAAAAAGAATGAGAGAGGAAGCGGGAGAGAAACTAAGGGAAAACAACAGAAATTAAGGGAGAAAGAGAGATCGAACTAGAAAGAGAATGAGAGAGATTGAGGGAGAACAATAGGTAGAGAAAGAGAGAGAATGAGAAAAATTGATAGAGAATGTAAATACCGAAACCAAAAACCATTTTTATTTATTTTTAAATCACATAGTCGTTGAGTAGAGAGAGGTGACTCTGAGAGTGAGAGAGTGAGAGAGAGAGAAAGGAAGAGAAATTAAAACGCTTTTTTATTTTTCAATCACCCAAAATTAAGAGGGTAATTTTGGTATAAGACATTTGTTGTGTCCAACATGGATTAAGAGTCCCATGTTGGCAACAGCCACATAAGCCTCCAATGACATAGCCAGGGTTTTTATAATTTGAAATGTAGAGCCGGTGAGTTTTGTCGGTTTTAGGACCAACCTGTAGCCTAATTTTAAATGTACATCCCATTCTAACTATAATTTCCCTAATTTAAAATTAATCCGAAAGCAAATCTATTTTCTTATATAGATGGTGGGTCAATGATCCAACTTTTCAAAGAAACCCATAATGTCATAATTAAATAATAAATATTTAAAAAATGATAGAACACAAAGAATGAAAATGTACAAATTTTGTAGAAAACATTTGAAAACATTTCTAATGTTATATATTCATCATATTAAATAAAAATAAATGTTAAAAGTTAATTTTATTTATTATAGAAACGAAATACAAAATTTAATAATAATAATAATAATAATTGATGGTGCGCGATCTGGATACTCGTAGCTGGAAGATGATCTAAACACCAGTGGCATGGCGAGCTGGACCAACCTGCAAGATAATAGAT